GTAACCCTAAACTCGGACCAAGTTAATCCTCGCCTCTTTCAAGCCTTTCCAACTTAGGGTTACGCTTTAGTTGGATTATTTGGATAGTTAGATTAGATTAGTTAGTCACGAACCTCTGTCAACCAAACCTCCGGACGAGTTCTAACCTAGAACCAATTAAGACTTTTTCACTGTATAAAAAAAGATCGTCGCCAATCATATTTATCCTAATTTCAGCCAATTAAAACGAACTTCTGCTATGCTGGCCCATAGAGGAAAGAACTCAGAAGTTCGCTTCTAAATAAACTAAGTCCTTTATTAAATAACTCCTACTACCTAATCCACACTTTACTTAATTACCCCCCGATATTCTACTAAGTGGCATAGTAGAATTATCTTCGCAAAGTCCATAGATTAATCCATGATTACCACCCGTTCTCAATATTAATAACCATAATGAGATATTATATTTCCCGAGAAGTTTAATGTTATGTAAGACAAAATTTTTGATCGTACATAAAATATAGTTTTTTTTTTTTTTGGTTCAATAGAATTTATTTAAAATATCATAGATCCTTTAATTCCGAACAAGAAAATAATAATAATGATAATAAACTTCAGACTGTTATGCCTTAATACTAGAAATTTATTACGTTATGAACTTTATATAATTGTGAATAATTAATATACAATGGTGTTTAGAATATTTCGATTTTCTAGACTATAATACTATAAATATAACTATGAGTATTCAGTAAATACTTTAATGTTTCTTATAAAATAAAAAGGTACCGCTGGCAGGAATACTAGAAATATGCCCATCAGGGTATTTACTAGCATCTAAAATAAATTTTAGTTAATAAATAATTAATAAATTTTAAGTCAAATATTTAAAGTTTGCATTAATTCTAATAAAAACTTACATTCAGAACCAGCTGGTGAATGACCGTTAGCTGTGTTAACTACTTGAATATAAGTAATATCTTTGAATACACCATCTCCTTTATGACCCTGATAATACAAATTTAAAAATGTAATTAATATGATATTGTAAATCAGTATATTATGATCAAAACATACAAAAGTTTCCATTAAGCCCCAACTATGATCAACCGCTGGATTAGGAGGTTCAACGGCAGCAATTACTTTAAATTGAAGAGAAGAAGTATCATCCATTGTAAGTGATCTCACAGTGCATGTAGGAAAACTGGAACCGACTAAATTATGCCAAATATGTAATTAGTCAGATTGGAATGCAAAAAAAAAAAAAAAAATTTAAATTATCATAAGATTAATACATACTTTCTTCACTCATATCAAATTCAGCCATTTTTACTTCAGCTACATATGAATGTGGAACATCGGCAACATCCTTAGCACTGTTGAAGAAATAGGAATCGCTGCCAGCTATTAAAAAGTAAGCATATAATCATATTATTTAAATATCGATATTCGTAAAATATTAATCTTAATTTATAAGAATTGAAATGAAATAAATACCAAATTTGCAAGTAGGACCATCGGCTCCCGTAGACCACTTAAAGTGAAATAGTGCAGTAGCATGCATCGCGAATTTAAAATCATTTCCCTCAGGGACCTTTATGGCATCAGGAATGACTAGATCTTTAGGAAATTCTATAATTTTAGTAGAGACAACATGTTAACCATGTGTGAATAAATATTGCATTATAAAATTGAATGGAATGGTTATTTTACCAGTGTTGATACCAATTTTTTGAGACATATTATAGCGTAATGTAATTTATATAATTCAATAAAGTGTGAAAAGGTTGGTTAATTGACTTGAATAAAAAAGAAAAAATAAGCATATTTATAAATTATTTTGATTAAGTCAATAATGAATTTATTTGGAAAATATCTAAATTTGTATTGTTAATAATTTATGGTAATAGTAAATAAACCGAATTGCTGATTAGTTGTGTTACGTTGCATTAATTAAGCCTCAATAGTCGTAATTTTAAATCAATTAACAATATATAATCTAATATAATTATGGTTAATTATAACATTTTTAACAATTGAGTATTTTTTATTGTCATGTTTAATTTCTAAATGATTAAACTTTATAGTAACGGTAATGCATAGAACGAAAATTTTAATGTCGAAAGGAATCACACACACGATATCAGTTTTTTTTTTTTGGATAATTCCAGCCCAAATAGTCTGGATATTAAAATTTTATTAATTAAAATGCTTTAGAGAAATATACATCGGTGCGATCGATGTATAGTGTCACACTTGTAAACGGCGAGTCAGTCGCTCAATCTTAAAGATCTTCGTGCAACGTTCTATGATAACCTATCGAAAGACGGCGTAGTGATTAGGCAAAGGGGATTCCAAGGCTTCGGTTATCGTTCGGACTCCGGTCACGTGGTTGGTCTTAACGTTATTGGAGTTTCTAACTTCCCTTAATCTTTTCAAGCTGACCTATCCTCTCTCTTAGGATAGTCAAACACAAGATTCAGTGGGCAAGTTCTCTTTTCTCAATAACTCAACGACACTTTACTCTTGTCCGAAGAGTAAATTAAGCAGCGTAACGTTAAACGGGTGCAAGTTTATACGATTAGCGAAATGTGGTTGGAATTATTAGCGGATTTATGGGTCAAAGGAAAGGTTGAGTCAATTTATTTATGAGGGTAAATATTTATCGGCCGTGCGATATCTTTATTGAAGGGCAGAAATACTTTGCTTATATAGACTTTACAAAAATAGGATTGCGTATAAGTCTTATATGACTTTTAGCTCCTATAACTCTTAAAAGACATATAAGACTTATCGCTCTTTTAATACTTATAGGACTTTTAATACTTTTAAGACTTATAATACTTTTAAGACTTATAACTCCTATCGCTCTTAATGTCTTATAGGAGCTAAAAGATCGATCGCTCCTATAAGCGCGGGATCCCTAAAAAAGTCAAGGATCGACTTAGCCGCAAAATCGGACTGCGGCTTAGTCATATAGGCTCCGGAAAGAAAGCTCGGAACTATGTAACACCAGCCGGTGGTTTCCCAACCCATGCGAAGCGGGCCGGCTGTTTAAATATGAATAATTTACAAAAAAGAAATCTACTGGGATTGGGAGAGCGGATAACGTTGCACAATTTAACTCCAATAGTTAACGTGGTTTGGACGCGATGGCATCTCACTCAACTAGATAAGTTTTGAGTATCAATGATGGTTGGGAATAAAGGAAAGGCAAATCATTGTTTTATGTTACTTTATCAATAAAAACGTGAGACTTTTTTACAAGTTTTTTCATAAGTCTTTTCACAATTTTTTTTTATTAAATGAGACAGCCTGTGCTTTTATAAATTTATGATATTAAGAGACCTGACCTGCTTGAGGCTTCGTGCTATCACTTTAGCCTCACATACCTCTACACAAACTAAAACCATAACACTAATTTAAGAATAATGACATCAAATACTAATATAACCAAATTGCCAGGGCGTAATGGTCATTTTAAGAGGATGCGATATGACAATTTGGGCACTTTTACTCTAACTACTAAAAACTGGTATTTAACAAGAAACTATCAGGAAACAAGACAAATTCGATTTTTCAACACGATGATTTATAATATAATAATAATAATAATTTTATAAGGTAAAATTTATAACAAGGACGATTTTTATAGACAAGGGAATTTTTAGACTTGGATACTTCTACTTTTTATTTATTTCGATGTTTAGAGCTCCAAGAGTCTGCCTTTATTGAGGTCAAAGGTGAGCGCTTATATACATAATTTTACATATACAATAAATTTTAAAAATTTTTTAACTTTACAAAACTTCATAAATTTACTGAAATACTTAAATTTCTTAATTTTACAGAAATTTGTAATTTTCCCAAATTTCTTGGTTTTCAAAAATTTATTTATTTTCATGATTTGTCAAACTTTCAAAATTTCAAAAATTTTAATGATCACCTTTTGAACTAAGTGCAGTATTGAGATTGGCAATTTTGTTTCTTAAAACAGTTAATTATAATTTTTAAAGTACCTTTATTAGTAAAAATCATCACATCATATAAAATTTTTTTTTGTAATATATAATGAAACAACAAACTTTGATAACTAATTTTTACCTTTAAATTTATTGATTATAATGAGAGATGTAGTTATATATAGTAGTTGAGAAAATTAAATGAGAAGTAAAATTTTTCTCATCTTGATAATATTTATAGATGCAGACATTTGGTAATATTGTAACTGATCTTAACATTATCTAAGATGTAACTCAAGATATGATAACATGTCAAAATATCATGACAACATTTAACTTAATTTTAGATATATACTTATGTGTTGTAACATTTTGTATATGCTGTAATATCTGATATGTGCTATAAAATGTGTTATGATATTGTAACAAAAATTTTTTAAAACTGTTCTGTTTGCTCTGAAAAATTAATATAGAACTATTATTATGATTGATTTATTTATTTTATTCATAATTACAGTTGATTATAGTAAAATTCATATTTTACTAATAACTTTTGAACTACTGATCTAATTTTAATAAAACTTATACCATTAGAATTAGCATATCAAGATAGTTCTACTGAGCATAATATGATTTGGATTATAGGATCCTGAGATTGTTTAAGTTTTATGAATATTAATTCATATATAATATGTAACTTAATTCTGATTGATAATTACAACTGCATCTAAAATTGATGATTTTTACTTCATCTACTATTTCTACTATTTCTAAAATTTTATTGGGTCCTTATGCCTACATGTTTGGCTCTTGGGGAACCCTTCACTAGCAGAGCATTTATTCTCCTATAGGGTTGCAGTAAGCTACGAGCTATAGTCATGTATTTATGCCTATCTAATTTAGCTTGTGGAGTACACTTTACTAGTAGGGCATTATTTATCCTGTGGGGTTGCAGTAAGCTACGAGCTATTTATTTGTTATTTTTATTATCATCCAGGAATATTACATCTAGGAATCCTTATTATCTAGGTATGTTTTATCTGAGTATCATAGAGAATCTGTTTCTAAATAAATTAAATCTAAAGTTTTTCATTAATGTGTATATAGTTAAACTTTCTAAGCATTAATGTTCAAGGGTACTTGATTGAAACTTCCTAGCTTGATAAATTAAATTAAAATTTCACTATGTTTTTGAAGAATAACAACATACAAACTACTAGTCATATCTTGCTCAGAATTGACAAACTGTAAGTCTTTTTATGCAATAGCCTTTTGC